TCGCAAGTTTAATATATGTTGATATTGAGTAGTGATAAGTTGACGTGCAACTTCACAATTAGAGCCTCCATCTGTAATCACTGCACCCAATTTTTCTACACCAATTTCATCAAAAAATTGTTTGAATATGAAGTTTGTTCAACTTTAATATGAGTACAACTCTACCAATTATAATCAAAACGTGACTCAAAGAACGTTCCAAGATATTTTTAAGTCTAAGCAGATTTTTATAAAATTTCTTTCTTTGTTCATAGTACGTAGTTATTTCCTTCTTCTATTGTATTCTCATTGTAGTTATTTATGAATATCTATTAATGTTAATGTTAAATAGTATCTCTTCCAAAGCAGGAGTAATTACCAAACCTTTGAAGTTTATAGAAAACCTAATGGTTTTTTTTTACTTCATTTCGAGATAGATTTTCAAAATTTTTTGTATTTTACAATATTCTTTTAATTTTTAATAATTCAAAATGAAATTTACTTCTTTTAATGTTTCCGATTTCATTGAGCTTTAAGGGAAGAATTTATCCATTCTTACTTTTTAGAAATTTCTTTGCCCTTGCATATATAAATTTTTGAGACATTATTAATAGCTACTTTACTAAAGTTGGGTGGCAAATGGTGGGCTATTAATCTAATTGTTATTATTCTATTTTGTTTCCACGTGGAAATGAAAGGCGGCCCAATTATAGGATCAATTATCTTAATTTGGGGTTTTTTTAATTATTCTCGCAATATCTTTGTTGTTTCTTCTAAATAATATGATGATTCGAATTTGCCTTATTCATATATTTTTTTAAATATATATTAAATTGTTTCGTCCCATTCTATATCAATATAATAGATGATAATAATAAGAAATCAACATCTAATTTTTGGGAATTTATCTAATAGTCATTGATTAATTATTATTAATATAGAAGCAAAATTCATTCATTGCACTAATCATCATTCTCATTAGTGATGCTTTGACATATGGTATATAGATCACGTTATTTCTATATTTTCACCCGAACTGCTGGAAATTAGAGTTGTACGGCAAAGGTTTCGTTCTTTATAATTTGTAGTGTTAAAAATAGAGTTTTTTCGAAATATTACTATCAACTAGATGAATTGAAGGAATGAAGTCAATAACAAGAATAACAAGATAATAGTATGTCTTCTACATATACTATTTGTTCTGCCTATTCTTTGTGGAAGTTATATAAAAATGAAAAAGCTTGCTGTAATATAAGCTCTAATCATTAACCTTTTGCATCTTTAACATCAATTTATGATCTTCATCTTCGAACTGTTTTTTCCTTCTATATAATTCCCATTCAATTTCCCTATACTATTAATATAAAAATCCGTTGAAACGCGATTATATAGTAATTTCGTTTCAACGGATTTTAAACGAAATTTTCTTATATGTCCAGCCACTCCGTTGAAACGAGGGTGATACTGATTTCTTTATAATATCATTTTCAGAAAATCCACTGCTACCATCTATTAACCAGAGCATTATAATTAGACTTGTTAAACTGAAGTAAATGTTTTCTCACAAAAAAATTCTTGGTTTAAAAATCTTGATAAAACCAGCTTATAAAAATAAATTTAATAAAAAAACATCAGTTTATTGTGTACATTCATCTTATCAAGCTCTGACTGTATTGTTCATTTCATTATCAACTTTATATGATACTTGTCGTCTATTTTGTGGATTATAGATATAAATAAATCTCATACTTTGTGAATAAGCCTCCAATGTAAATGTTTTTATAAAATTAAAAATTATTAAATAGTGAAGAATCATAACAAAAAATCAATTCATTTATCCTATTGCAAATAACATATTTTTTCAAAGTTTGTATTTTTTAAACAATTTAGTTGATATTCCTTTTATTGATTGATGAACCAAAAAAATTAAATAAAAAATAAAATAAAATATAATACAAAATATACAATAAAAATCATCGTCAATCTTTTTCCTTTATTAGAAGTAAATAATAATCTTAATAGTAATAATAATGAATAGTAACTTCCAATTAATGAAATTTTTATTCACCCTATTAATATCAACATTTAGAAAAAAGAGTTAAAATCAAGATCATTTAATGAACTATCATAACTTGTATACCTTTTCAAGCTTTTTGATTTAGCAATCTCATTATCTAAGATTCTACTTGTGTGATATGCGTCTGGATGTGATTTGTGAACTACTTGTAAATTACTACTACTACTACCACCACTGCTGCTGCCATCATTATTAAAATCAGTTTCACATTCATCACCTGTAAAATATTTTTTATATTTATTTTTACTAAATTCATAAAGCTCTATACTAGTTGGTCTTTTTAATGCATCCACATCCCAACATTTCTTCATCATTTGTACATAATCATCAGGGATTCCAGGTAATATTGGTGGTCGTAAACCTTCACATATATCAAGAATTAAATGATGGTTGTGAGCTCTATCATCAAATGGTGGATGACCTGCAAATACTTCCCACATTAGCATCCCAACACTATAAATGTCAGATTCTTTGGTATTCTTTGTATTAATTTTGCCTCTAAGTAGCTCAGGTGAAATATATGGCATAATTCCATAAATTTTATTTGATAATTTTTCATCAGCTGGTCCACATAATCCTAAATCTGTAATATAACAACCATCTCCTTGCAATAGTATATTACCACTATGTAAATCACAATGGATTAAATCCATTATGTGTATATGATATAATGCAGTAAATAAATATGCAATGATTAAAATTCTTCTTTTCAATGTTAAGTTCAAATGATGTTTTTGCAAATAATCTCTTAAATTTCCTTTTGGATGATAATGTAAAACCATTGCATAATTTCCATTACCTGGGAATTTAGTTATACCATAGCAATTAACAATCAAGTGTGATTTAATTTTACAATAATTTATTGCCTGAAAATAAATGTAAAATCAATTAGTATTATATAATATAGCATTGTTTTTAAATGACAATTACCAACCTCATCAAAAAAGCCTTTTTTTGGATTACTTGAATTGTTTAAACTTTTTAATACTATTTCTTGCTTTCCTAAATAATTAAATTCCTTTTTATTTTCATCATAATCATCGATGGTTCCTCTTGTCCATGTAGCAGTATAAATTGAACTAAATCCACCTTCAGTTAACTTTGTTACTTTTTTAAATTGTTCAAAAGGTATCCATTCTAAAATATTATATGGCAAAGATGAATTCATTTGACATTGTTGAATAAAATTATCAACTATATTATTTCCTGATTTCCAAGTAGTAAAAAGACTTTGTAATTGTAAACTGATGCAACCTTCACAGAATCTATCAGAGTACCTTGTCAATTTACAATTGTTACATTCTTTTGGTTTTCCTTTTTTGTTTTTTGCATTATCTAATTCAGATTTATAAATAAATTCTTCTATACAATATTTTTTTTCATTTTCAGAAAGCTCCTCATTTTTTTCAACTAATGAAAAAAAATAATCTTTTCTACTTTCTATATCAGAATTAACAGCAGCACTACAACACTCTTTATTATAAATTTTAAATACCAACTCTACTCTTTCTGGTGATAATACTTTATTAATACAATAAAACATTATATAAAAATAAAGTTTTATAAAATTCAAATTTGGTTATAATATATCTATTGAATAGTGTGGAGAAAACGAATAATAATAATTTCTTTTATTTATAGATCGTGAAATGATCTACAATAAGTAATTAATGCTACACGATAAACATAACGAACCAATAAATTAATATTAATTTTAAAACAACTTAAAAGGAAGGTCTAGAACATTTTTAAGAAGCATAAAATCAGAGTGAAACCTAACGAAAGAATTATTTAGCAAGCGAGGTATTGTTATTGGGGAGTGGCTCTACATATTAGAGCGAAACCTAATAGAGAATCAGCGAAGCATTGAGAGCTAGAGAGTGGCTATCCCTGTAAAAAATGACAATCCAGGATATTTCCATTACTTCTCCATGATTATGATTATCACTCCATAAAATTCGGTTTGTTTCATAAAAGCAGCAATCGGTTCATTTCAATAATGTCATTTATAGTAACTTGTAAATATGGAATTAAAACGAAAATGTGAGATAATTAATTACAGGAACCCTCCATAAGTGCACCCTCCATGAGTGGACCCTCTATAAATGCATCTCTCCATAAATGCACGCTATGTCTCATTCCCAACCTCGGGAATTAGAGATAAATGCACGCCCTCTATATTCTGCACTACACGGTATAAAACCACCCTCTCTAAATGCACGTCCGTGACTTTCACGTTATTTATTTGCTAAATAAATTCGTGTTGCATTAATTAATTCAAACGTTATTTATATCTATTTATCTTTGTTACCTCTTTTTTAATATTAGTAATGGAAAATAAATAATTAAGTAAGCTACTGTTGCTTAAAAAGGATTAAATGGATGTTGTTAATTCTTTCTTTTAATTGACAAAGCGTTTATTAGAATAATAATGATAAAAACACAAATGGAGAAATTATATATACGCGAAATTAAAAAATCAAGTATTAAACAAAGGATAAAAGATCACGAATTTTTTTTTAAAATTTATGTTTAATAAAAGTAACCAAAAATAAAATAATAAAATTCTAAAAAACAATTAGGACAAGTTTAATTTGAAAAAAAAAAAATTCAATGAAGCAAACCACAATGAAACAATTTTTTTAGTCAACAAATAATATATTTATTATGTAATAATAATAGTAATTAAATATTTAAAATCGTACAATAATTATTTTTATTAGTATCACGTGCAACCAATAAAATTCTTCCCCTCTATAAATGCATCCCTCCATAAATGCACACTCTCATCCATTCCCAAGGGGGGTGCACTTATGGAAGGTTCACTGTATATAACAATGAAGCTATGTTAATCTATACAGCCAACATGGATGTTTCTACCGTTCTTACACCACCTTCTTCACCCACTTGTGCTTCACAACATTATGAATGTGCAGTTTGTAAGATCTTATACAAAACTAAATCTGGTTTAATGCATCATAATACTATTGTACGAAAATACAACCTGAAACATGAAGGATTGTGCAGATTGCCTTCTGAAGTGATAACTGAGTTTAAAGCATTTCTTGTTAATGTTATTCAAAGC